TCCTCCTAATTATTGGTTCAGCCAACATCTAGTTCCAAAAGCAGCCTTTCTCTAGATTTTTCCTAGGCTCCTGCTCCTAGCTTCTCTTCTTTCTATTTGTGTGATTCCTCCCTTGTTTCTTTCATGTACTTACATGCATGTCTTCCCAGAGCAATACTCAGCAAAGTCCTCTGCCCACACAGTTCTAAATCCAAAGTGGACTGGCATGTGCCTTTGTTTCAGGCAGCGACATTTGGCTGTATTTTGGTTTGGGTCCCATTACTGTTTCTTCTATTTAATCCGAATGAAAGATGATTTGTTATACTCACCAGTTTCAGCTAGATATAACCGTTCCTGCACTATTCGGGTAGACTGGTGATATGTTGCGTCTGCTGACTACCGTGTTCTCCAATACTGTCTCTTTGTTTCCTTGTTCTCTCTCATTGGTCTGTTTGTATCTTTTTCTCTTGTCTTATAACTGGATTGTAAACCCTTTGGGACAGGGGCAATCTTTCTGGTTTGTGTTTGTATATAACATAGCAGAGTAGCAACCTGATCCATTACCAGGTGCAATATTCATACAAATAATAAAAGTGTAATATCAACAACAGCCTAGTAGTCTTCAAAGATTCTATGACTTCCCTTTGGTGCTTTCTGTTCATACCCTTTGCTCATCTAGGTTTCAAAATAAGTGACATCCTGAATGCCTTTATCCTTCAGGGAAACCTGCCATAGAAACCTGCACCTCTGCTTGTAAGTACTCAGCTTTCTGGTGTCCTTAATGAGACATTGTAATCTACCATGCTTGCTTTGCATTCAAGCCCCAGCATTTATTTATTTGCCAAGAGGTTAAGGGACTGATAGGTGGGCTGAGAATTGAATTACCAAAAAGGACATTTTGTGTTGATCCCACAGAGGGTATTACTGCCACAGTTGCCAATTTTTGCCCTGGGTGAGGGTGCATGTAGAGGGCAAGATGGAGCATGGGACTTGCCTGGCGGTCCAGTTCAGAATCAAGGCTCTACACAGATGTAGAGTGCCTTGTTTGTTCTCAGATTTTTAGTAGCAACCTCAGCATATGGAGTTTGAACTATAACAGGAAAGACATCTGTGGGAGAGAAATTGGGAATTGTGTCATTTGGAAATGTGAAAAACAACACGTAATTGGTATTTATGTGGCATACTTGCCTTGTGCTGGCTGTCTGCATAAGTGAGGAAATTCACCCAGTATAACATAAGTTGGTATGGTACAAATGTGGCTGTTATCAAAACACATCTTTTACAAAATAAGCTTCCCTCACAATATTAATAGGCAAACTGAGTATACTTATAGTCTGTTCATTTAAATAGCACCATTTAAATAGCATTCACATTTACAAACAAGGAATTACCATTCTAGAAAAAAACAATAATACATCTAATTTTGTATCTCGTTTCTGGCAATTGCTCACGCTGGATACTTCACAGGAAGTTGAGGAGAGCAGGGGAAGAAAGCCACATATCTACACATAACAACCTTTGTAAATCCTACAGTGTTGTATTATGGAGATACATTTCTTTCCTGACCTCAGGTAGCTCATTTTATGCCCTGAAGAAAGAGTTGATAGTTTTGTCATTTTTAGCATACCATGGGCACCATCACTAGTATCCGTTTATAATATTATAAAAATACTTCTCATTACTGAAATGTAGCAATTTAAAGGTTTATCTCCACAGACCTCACTTTGTTACCTTTTAGTGCGGTAGCTGTTTTGGAAAGGTAAGGGGGGAAAAAACAATTCCTTGTTATATTTGTTTTTGTTTGCAGGCTGTTATTCTTTTACTAAATGACTACTTTAATGTTACTAAAATTAAATATTCTTTTCTGCCTTTGTTGTCATCATAAAATTATTTCTCAATGGGAAATAATTCTTCTAGGAAATATAAGCCAACTCTTCCTTTGTCTATATGCCTTCTTGTAAGTTCCTACTAATATTAATGGTAGTTCTACATACACATTAAGAGAAGTGTGGAGCCTCCTCTATAAATAGGATTTTTTTGTTGAAGAAACAAAGATTTAGCGTGTCCATTGCCAGGCTAAAAACTTGCGTTTTCCTCTTTATTTATCAGTTTTAAGCCTACATTTATCATTTGTTTTGGTTTAGTATTTTAAACTGTTAATTTCCTTTCTAAAGTTTTCAGTTCACTTTTAATACCTGCATTACCCTGTTGTACTATCCATGTTCTTAAGGTTCCACCAAAAATGTCATACTAATGATGTCCACACACCTAAAATCATTTTTGATTTATGAAAAATAAAATTAACGTCCACCATCTGGTGCAGTTTTCTCTTGTGTCTAATTGATCAATATTGTTAGACTATTATCATACAGTTGTTAAATTTGGCAGAGCATTCAATTTAAGCTATTGATTTTGCTTGTAAATTCTACAGTATTGTATATTATTCTGTTGTAATTCAGAACCTAAAACATACACTCAAATTCATATAGAAAATTGTCCAACTTTTAAAAATGTGGGAATCTAGTTAAATACTTCGTGTAATTTGGATTTTCACATGTGAGTTAGCAACTAGATGCAATTCAATTCTTACTGGCCAATCGCATTAAAAAATTTAAGCCAAAGGGTGTGGATGTCTACATTAAAAAGGCTTTGGATCAAACCCTTTTAAGGAGATCTGAACCCTTTCAAGATGCCTGTTGGCATTCCTAGTTCATGTGTACTGTACTTGAACAATTAATAGCAAAACAGCATCTCTTACATGGGAGAAAAATCATGTGAATAAACTGTTGAATATATGTTTGTTTGTCCAAGTATTTACTTTAGTGTCATGTTAAAAAAGATTAACTGTATTTTCACAAACAAGCCTGTTTTTTTCACTGTGATCTGTTTATTTCCTCAAAATTGGCATTTTCTTTCCTTTGATAGACTATGGTGATGTCTAATACACTGTTCTTCATTTTGCTCTATCTGCAGCTTCAGAGGTGTTTACTACGTGACTCGTAGTCGTGTCAAAGGTTATAATATCTCTATCTGCATCTAGATGACTGGCTGCTGAGGACAGAGGCCCTGAGTCCGTCAGTACTTGACTTTACCCTCCTGAAAACTGCCACTGATCTTAGTAACTCAAGTTGCCCATTGAAATCCATGGAGCTACACAGGATGGAAGTTGAACATGTGTTAGTGTTGCAGGAACATTAGTTCAAACAAAGGAGTTAGCAGTAGGTGTTAACTGGCCCTATTTCTTGGTTCTGGTAGTTCACAAAGACAAGCTACAGCTCTCGTTTGTACAATAATGGAAGTCTTTTTAATACAAAGTTACCTTTTCCTTGTCAACCACTTTCTAGGTTCAAGAATTGGTAGGACTTTTCCCTACCAGTCCACTGTTTCAGATGCATTATTGTAATTTATTGTCTGCTGCAGTAATGTCTAAAAGACCTCATCTAGGTTGGGTCCCCACCACATATGCAGCACTTTTAATGTCAAAGCATTTTGCATAGTTCCTTAATTAAACCTCACAACACCTCTCTGAGCCTGGAAGCTGTCCAAAAACCGAAGTCCTAAATTGTATCTTGTCAAGAGTGAAAGAAGTGCTCATTGGAAACTCTTACAGCAAAATAGTGACATCTCCTGGTCACCACTGTGCTTTCACTGATTTGTGAAACAAAGAGGACAAGTGGGAGACCCCAGCCAAGAGGGTGACTGAATTATTTGGGGGTTTAGTAAAGCCGAGCATGTGATTATACTAGATCACACTCAGAAATCCGTTCAAATGTGATTAGATGAAAATTGCCAGAGAGATAAATTAACAGTTCTATCATGTGTATTTTAATTAATTTTATCTGTACGACTTAAGTCTCTGTGATGCAAACGCTTTTCTTTTTCCTTCGCGCTTGTCAGCAGGCCCCCTGGATTCCCCAAAAACGAAGACTTGAATCTGGAGATCAGAGACTTCAGTCTGAACAGAGATTTAAACCAGTTCCGCAGCCCAGTTCTCTCTTGTCTACTTCCAAGGGGAATAATAGGAGCCAGGGAAGCTGCTCCTAGATGTTTTGCTGTTTTCAGATGCTAACACTTAAGACTAGGAGCTCTGACCTTAATTGACACCAAGCGCTGAGCATTTCTCTCACACAGCAAAGCTTGTTGGGCCAAGGTGGCAATGTGAATGTGGGCATGGGAGGGGGAATAAAAGTAGGAGGGAGATTTCATGTAAAGGCTTCCCAACACAGTCCGCTGTAGCAAGGGTGGGAGACATGTAAGCCTGCCTTGAAGACAAATCTTCAAGGAGGGGGTTGGGATTGGGGAGGAATACAACTAGGATGGAGATTGTAAAGGCTTCTCAACAGAAACCTTTGTGGCAAGAGTGGGAGACATTTAAGCCTGCCTTGAAGACGAATCTCCAGGAAGGGGGTTGGGACGTGAGGGAGACCTTTGCAGAGTGCTCTGCCTTGAAACAGCAGGGCAAGCTGCCTTTTGCCACCCTCCTGCCCCTCAAAAACAAACAAAAAAAGGCCTGGTGTCCAAGCCAGCCAAGTGTAGCCACCTGGGCGGCCAGGAGATGTCACTGCTTTGCTGCGAGAGCACAGTCTTTCTCAACCACTTCTCACCCCCAGCCCCCTTCATCTGGTGGCAAATTGTTAGTGGCTGAGTAGGATTGAAGGGGGGGAGAGAGAAGGGGAGAAGATTGTGTTGCAAATGCCAGGGAGAACCAGGAGGTGTCTCAGATGTGGGACTTGTTTATCACTCAAACCTGCCCACCGGGGTCTCCCCCCTCCCCCACCTCCTCAGCAGCCTGGTTTGGTTGTTGTTTTTTTTTCCCCCTTCCTTCCCTTTCCCCGTCTCTCGCTGCTCTGAGAGGCAGCAGGAGCGGTGGCAGCTCCTGCAGCGGCAGCCCGAGCTCGGCCGCAGCCGAGGCAGGCAGGGCGCGGCGGGGAGGGGGCTCCGCCATGGCAGCTCCCGCCCCCCAGCCCCTGCGCTGTAGCGTGAAGCTGCTCTTCCTGGGCGACGAGCAGCTCCGCGGGGGGCTGCCGGTCGCCAGCCCCGGCCAGCGAGCCCTCCAGGTGGCGCTGCAGCCGGGAGAGGAAGAGGCAGACGTGACTGTGACAGACGGTTAAGTACTGAGCCCAGCGGGGTGGGTGGCGGCTGCTGCCTGCCGGCCCCCTTCGCCCGGGGGAGCAGTGCCCCGGCCCCGCACTGCAGCGCTGCCCCTGCGCCTGCCGGGCTCCTCCTGCCCCTGGGCCACGGGCTGAGGCAGGCAGCTCCCCTCCCTGAGGAGGTGGGCGGCTGAGCCCCCCTCCCCCGCTTTTGAATTGTTTTTTAGTGGGTGAAAGGAAGTTGCCCCCCTGTTTGGTCCGGGGGGGGGCATCAGCAAGGCGCTGGGCATCGTGACTCTGCGCAGAAGGCCGTGGGCTGGGTGCTTGAGAGGGCTGGCATGCAAGGCATTGACCTCTGGGGCAGCTGGGCGCGGGGCAGAGCTCTTCTCTTCACGAGGCCCCTGGCCTGGAGAAGGTGAGACTGAGGGGGATTTGATAGCCGCCCTCTGCGGCCTGCTGGGCGCTTCCAGGGGATGGAGCTGGGCTGTTCTTGGTGGCGGCGGTGACCGAGCAAGGAGCAATGGCACAAGTGGCAGCAAGGGAAGTTTAGGTTGGATGTTAGGGGAAACTTGCTCATTAGAAGGGTAATAAAGCACTGGAACAGGTCACCCAGAGAGGTGGTGGCATCTCCATCCTTGGAGGTTTTGAAGACCCGGCTAGACAAAGCCTTGGCTGGGATGATCTAGTGAGGGATGGTCCTGCTTTGAGCAGGGGGTTGCACTAGATGACCTCCCAACCCTCGTTGTCTCTGATTCTGGGTGCTGCTGTCATAGACCTAATAAACTAATAATGCCACAGCGATGAACAAGGTATAAATGCCTCCTCGATCAACGTACTGAAGGTGGGCATGGAGCTCTGTTTGTTTGGCGCGTACCAAACACACTGATGACAGGTGGGATGTGATATGTGCCCTCTGGCAATGTTTTACCAAACACAGTTCTTGCCCTGGCTTTGGGAAAAGCATGACTGTTGTATGCTGGTGAATAGCAAACACGGAGGCTTTTTCATCTCAAAAAACTGATTTTGGGAAGGAGAAGCATAGGCCAGACTTTTTTCCCCAGAATTTTGAGCGCCAGGGAATTTTTAACTTAGAAAAGGTCTTTGCTTAACTTCACATCCAGAGGATGAGATCTTAATTTCTTGAGCCTCGTGCCAATACATAGCTATAACTCCACAGTTGTGTTAATGCTAAAGCATGCCAGTTCCTTATGTCAGCCTGGTTATAGTGGTGCAAAGAGGGATTAAATCAAAGCCATTTCCAATCATGGCTAGCTGTGCTGTTCCAGTAATTTCATAAACAAAACCTAAGAAAATTATGTTTCTCTCTAGACAGTATGAACTATAGAGATTAGCTCTCCAATCTTTTTTTTTTTGCTTGCAAAGGTCGTATGCTATTTTAGGGTTTACAAAGGGCAAACGCAAAAGGCAGATGTAAAGTCCCGAGAATATCTGTGAAAGCACAGTTTGATCACTCTGTCCCATGCAATTGTTCCCTGATGCATATGCATTTGTAGCTTGGTAATTGAGCTATCACACAAAAGTAAACAGATAAACTCTTTTGCACCTGGGGTAGGGAGAGAACAGTAAAAGACATATTTTGAAAATGTAATAATTACTAGAGGAAATAAAAATAATAGTAATAATCAAGTGCTGTCAGCTAGGAAAACATGCTAACGCTGAGCCCAGTCTGCAAAGCATTTTTAACTTCTGCTGTAACTTTCCATAGCACTTTACAAGACTGGGCTGAAAAATTGCTGAAAGGGAGTGTAGAACTAGATGGGTCATGAGTGCAAATGAATCAGCTCTCATTCAAACTGTTAGTGGGCATTTGTCCATTTTTCCCAAACTCATGGAGCTGGGCATTTTGGTGGAAGGGGATGACACAAATTGATCACAACTAAGACTAGCAGGATGAGGTGGACTGGGATGTTGGGGTCCATTGTCTGGAAGATAGAACACCAACTATTTGGCTGGTTATATCTTGTATGCTTCTAATGTGTTCAGCTTTTATGAGCAATGAAAAATCATCAGTTAATGTTGCGGGGGGGTAAAATCTGAATTTAACAAATATTTAAATGGGAAAGGATCACATGTAACACAACTCAAAACTTGGAAATACAATGGGAATGTTGTTTTACTCAAGCTCAGGCTTTTAAACATACTTTGAAATCTGGAATGATCGCCAAACCCTTCTGTGCCTATCTTGTCTCTATGCTTTTGATCACTTTCACTGATCTGTACCTGTGCTCTCATACTAAGTTAAAAAGAGTGCTTGCCTCTTCTGGGTGATGCTTTAGGAGAACTGAGACCTGATAATCTCAACCTTCACCTGTCAAAGGTGGTTTCTACTCAGGCAAGTAGGTGTAGTTGGTTTCGCTAAGAACTACTTAAGAATGTGGATCAAGTCTGAACTTCCTAAGGGCTCAGTCGTGGCTTTCGGCTCGTATTAGTTCAGTGTGGTTCAGAGGGGGGCACACCTCTCTTTTGGGGAACAGAAAGCTCTCCCTCACACACCTTTATGCCCTCGTGCCTTATACTAAAACATTCATGCTACAGCCAGACAGTATATCAGACTGGGTGTAAAGTGAGATTAGTTTTACAGGCACGTGGCAGTTCTATCATTTGCTGCCTGAGCAGTTACTGTATTAGGGGAGAGATTAAGGTTGCAAAGAGTTCTATTATATGCCCTATTTTTAGACTCTTATAACTTTGGCAATCAAAATTGATTGGCTCTGAAAATTGCTTGAGTTTATTCTGAAGCACGAGGAGAATTTTTTTTTGTGAAGTGGTCAGTCATCCTGTGGGGTTTTCTTCTTAAGATGCAAGTTATTTAGAAAAGAAATGTTGTTCTTTTTCTTCATGTCTCAGCAGCTCAGTAAAGAATTTTTAGTACCATTTCACTTTCTAAATGATCAAAACTTCTTCCAAAGATGTGCACAAACTATGTTTGAAATAAAAATAGTTGTAATTCAACATAGTTATTAATGATTCTGTAACCAATTATAATTGGTAGCAATTTGTATATGAATTATTTTTTTCTCTCTGGTAGCTGGTTGCAGCTTACAGTAAATATTAAGGTTCTTGCTGTGCTTCACAAATGTAAAAGACTTTCTCTAAATTTAAGCTGTAGCTTTTCCGGTGCTACAGAACTAGGTTTCTATTCTGAGCTTTTATAGATTTTTGTAGTTTATCTAGTAATTGTATACTGTGTAGCAATAATTTTGTTGCAGAATGGTGCACACATTTTTTTTTCATTGAAGTGTAAAGGAAAATTGGTCAAGCTGTCTTTAAATTATAGATCATTAAAAATTACCCTGAGTATAGAGGAACTCTGAAAGCAGCAGATCTGTAGTGAAGTTGGCAATCAGGGACCATTATAAATCTTATAATAACACCTATTTAATCTACAGAGGTTCTTGTACTGTGTTCATCAGCCTTGTATCTGAGTGTGTTCCAGTAGTGCATTAAGCAAAGTTGTTAACATCTGTCGTGTATGTGTATGTGCATTCTATCATAATTTCTCCATAGATGAGAAGTGTGTGCAGCAAAATGCCTTATTTTAGAAAATTTGTAACAGAGCATAACTGGGCAGGCATAACTGGGCAGTTCTGCGGTCTGGTTGGCAGCAGTTCCTGGGGCAGCAGACACTGCTGCTCATGGTGAGGCCGAAAGAGCAGCAGCTATTTTTGCACCCCTGTAAAGGCAGTATTCGTGGCTGATGTCTCAGTTGTGCCCGCCCCAATTTTTAGTATGGTACTAGGTTTTTTTAGTAATGGAGTAATACAGGCACTCATTTGCTATATTTTGTGTGAGAAGACAAGATCAAATAAATGTTGCTTGCACTGGGAGCGGAAGGTGGCCAAGTTTGTAATGGTCTGCAGTTCCTGCGGGAGTTCATTCAACAATCTTGAGGTAGCCCCCAAAAAAGCTCTACCACCTGCTTATCCTTATTACAGACAGTTCTACTGTGCCAAAAGAGTGACTTCTAAGTTGCATACAGAAAGTGATTTTGTGATTACAAAAATATTTATTTGAAGTACTGGAACAGTTTTTGATATGCCAGTATTAAGTTATGAATGATTTTTAAATGACATGTGATTTAATTTTATTCAATGTATGCTTTTTGGGGGGTCCTGCTAGCTAAAAACAGCTTGACTGCAATTCTTTAAAATCTACATCATTACATACTACTGACATATAAAACATATGCTAATTATACTTCAGCATTTAAATTTATTTGTAAATATTTGCCTTGTAGATTAAATATATACAACATATCAATGTGTGTGAAGTCTGCTTGGGGACATGTGAGAACACTGTAGACCCTGCCGTGTCATAGTATGAGAGCTAAGACAGAGCAAGCTATGAACACTGAGAACCTATAGCACTCCAAAGCCTAAAGTCCTGTGCAGGTCAGAATTCTTCTAAGAAATTTGAAGTATGGGACAACAAAGACTTGTAGAGACATGCCCAAACTGGAAGTGGGAAGCATGCATGTTGGCTGATAGAAGAGAGATAGAGGAACTTTGTTCTGCATTAGCCTTGTAGGTTTTACGTTATGTTGTGTTAACCTCTTTCTTTTCAGAAAGACAGAAAAAAATCAGCTGTGACTATGGTATTGCTTAGATATGTATATAGGGCAAAGGATGTGATACTTAGCAAAGTTGTCAATTTTTTTAAACTATATTGCTAGTTGGTATAGACAAGGATTCAGAAATGTTTTCTATTCCCACATTGGCCACTGGTTTGGTGGTGTCAGCAACAGTTACAAAGCATTGGAATGTTGTGAGTTATTAAAGTTAGTATATGTTCACTTACGTGTTTGTTTCCTGATCTGTACAGTGGGGATAACAATACTGACTTATTTTTGTAAAGTGATTTGAGACTAGCAGATGAAAAGCCTGATATAAATTAAGGGGATGGGGTGGGGGGTTGTTATTTAGCAATAGTCTATATAAGTGCTTACTGACATGAGAAGGTAGGCGAATGGATTTGAATATTAATTTACCTTTTCAC